CCCCAAAACCCCAAAACCCCAAAACCCCAAAACCCCATTATTTGGAAAAACAGTTGATGCATTAAAATATGGGTTAAATTAGTTATTCCGAGCAGGTAGTAATGAAGTAGCGTAAGGCTTTAACTTACTCTTCTTTCCTTTCACCCTTCTTCTTAGCTTCTGACTCTTCAGTTTTCGTATCATCTTTGTTGAGTGGCTTTTCTCCTTCCCAGTGCTAAAATATGAATTCTTTTTGTTCGTAGAGTTCTCAAGTTTGTTTGGAACCTTCTCCTCTGAAATTTGATTATTTTCAAGGGTGACTCATTTGTTTATCGAAGGAAGAATACCCTCCAAATCAGAATTCTCATCTTCCTTACAATTTTCTAATTTCTTGTTCTTTTCTGGCGTCTTGAAGTCGGAAGAGGATATCCCAGGAAGTTGAACATTTTCTATCTGAGACAGAGAATTTGCCTTTTCTTCATCCTTTCTCTCTTCTTTGTTAGATTTAGAGTCAAATTTATGAAAATTAAGTTCTCAGAAAGAGCCTTTTACATCTCCCTCTGAAAGTTTTCTATCAATCAGTGAGCCATTATTCTCTTTCTTATCTTCCAAAGGAGTAAGTTCAGCCTCTTGAACCGGAGAATTCTTCTGCATATGTGTAGCTGCATGTGAATTCATTTCAAAATTTTGATTAACCAAGTTATTCTCTTCTTCTATATTATTATAAGATTACTTTACCAAGACTTTCATAACTACCAAAGAGCTGCTCGTTTTGCTCACAGATGCTAATATTAGTATTTTCTTTCTGGTCTTTTATCTTGGATTCTTCAATAACAACATGGTCTCTTTGAGTATCCTCTAGTTCTTCAAGAAGCTCTATAAATCACCTTTAGAACAAAATTTGATGAATAATAAGCAATCAGGGTTAAGCTTACGTCGATGGCTTTCAATATTCCGAGCATTGATGTTAAGTTTCTCCTAAATAAATTATTAAAAGTTTTACCATTCAGCTATCAAATTCTGGAGTATTTGGTCTCTTGTTCTCTCTGAATATTCCTGCTTTTGTAAATCCCTCCACACTTTTACTAAAGTTCTTGACCATGGAGACTGGAGGTTCAAAGGTGTTCCCAATCTCCTCTTCTTTTCGCAATTCCTTTGGAGGCTGGTGAATGCTTGAATCTAGATCTTTTCTTGAATTGTTTCAACTTTCGAACTTCTTTAATAAAGCTGGTTCTTTGTGAAAAGAGTCATTCTTGTCACCAGAATTTTTAGAAATCTTATTTCCCAGTCTCTTCATCATGGCCAGCCATTTTTGGAGAGTCGTGAAGATGAGAATTATTTTGAGAATCATCAGACGACCCAGTTATAATCATTGGGAATTGCAAATGGTCATTGTTCTCTTTTTGCTCTTCTATCAAATCATCTTGGTGAACTTCATTATCTATTGAATTTCCAGGGACTCTACTTAAAAGAGCTAATGGACGATTTCTTTCATGATAATCTTGCATTAAAGATTTGCCTTCTTCCCTGTTGCCATGATAACTATCTGGAGAGTCTCTCTGAGAATATAATTCAGATTGTCGGCTAATTATTCGAGATTCACTGCTTGATCTGTTCTCTTCATCTCCGAAATCAAAAGGATTTCTCTGATTTTCAATATTTCTCAAATAATCACTAAGCTCCCGGACTGGATCAATGAGGGCTTTCTTCTCTTCAGGCTCAAGGTATTCCTTTGGAAAGTAGTCTGCTCCATTTAGAGTCACTAATCCGTTTTTAGATCTTTGTGAAATTTCACTAAATCAAGGTCAACATAAGTTTCAAAAAGTCAATGATCTTGGCATTCTCAAAACACAAATTGTTCTCCCTATTTGGAATCATTCTGGACTTTCTGTGAGCTTAATTGGTCTTTTAACCTGAACAAGAGTACCAAACTTAGATTTGCAGTCTTCAATATAGAAGCTATTATACTCAGTTTTATTTAATTATCGCATGTAAGCGAGAAACAGAGATATCTCCAATCCTGACCTCACTATCGTGTCCTCTTCCAATTTTCAAGAATGACCTATCTCTCATTCCCAAAACATGAAATGATTTTGAAAAGTTGTTAGTAATTCCTTCTAAGATTATATAAGGGCCATCTGGACGTTCGATGTCAATTAAGTCTATTAGTTTCCCTTTTATGTTCATGATTCCCTTGAATTCAGTTTTGCAAAGTTCACAATCAAAAGTTTTCCAGTTATAACTGATTGTATCATTACTTCTTTTCTGAACCATACACTTTGCAGAAAGCCAAGTTTTAAGTCACTCGAAGTGAATATACTTCATAGTTCCATCTCATTTTCAGGGGGATATTGCTGGGTTTTCCTCCTCCTCATCTTCTGTGAGATCTAGAAGACAGATCCTGCATGTTAGTGACTTCTTTGAGGAAGAAATGCTCTGATTATTCTTATGAAAACTCAGAGCTTCAACTTGATCCATGTCTACTATATTATTCCCAATAATTACCTTCTCCTTCAAATTGAAGAATTGGACTAACTCAAGATACTTTACTACTTTTCAGATTTTTTGGAAGAGTGCTTGCTTGTTTGATAAAATTGTTGACTTTCACATGCTGCATTTTAGAGTACTTACTCCCAATACTTGCGTATAATTTATTGTATTCACTTGGTTTTATATCTTGCTTCTCAGTTCCTTTAGGATGATATTTTCCTCTGTGAAGTTCAAGGACTTTAAACCGAACTCTTCCTAATTTTATTATATCTCCTTTATGGAGTTTATAACCAAATCCATCTAGAGTCTCATCATTCCTGTAATACTTAATAATGTGCCACAATTTTTGGGAAGGGTCATCATCAGGAGATTCATCTTCAACAGTATTATTTATTATAAAGCCAATAGACGTTATTTCTGCAAAGTAGGTGGAAAATAGGTGAACTTTGGTACTCATTTTTATGAAGTCCATTATTGTCATCCCAATCGGGGTAGCAATTAATCTCATTAAACTTATTACGAAAAATAGAGCTAGTTCCTATAATGTATATAAGCTTTTTCATTGTATTTTTATTCTCGTAGTCAAAGAGTCCGTGAGATTCTCTGCTCCAAGTAGCCAATTTTAATTCAATAATATTCTTGTACCCTCATTCTTTAGCTTGCTGCATTGCAGTTTTAGTCGAATTTGTTTGGGAATTAAACTTGTTATTATAATCATGTTCCAAGGGAGAGGGAGGATTATTACCCATCTGAGTATGAAAAATATTATATAAATTACTTCACAATCGAGAGCACAAATATAGGGGTTTTGGGGTTTTGGGGTTTTGGGGTTTTGGGGTTTTGGGG